GAAAGTTTGCAATTATCTGGTTCACCGTTTCCAGAGCTCCTGAATAATTCTGTCGGACCTCAAAATACTGTGCCTAATGGAAGGAAGAGAAGTCACATCAAAAGCCTGTACACTCACATAGGTGAGAAGATTCTTTCATACAGAAACCAGGAAAAAGAGCTAGTGAGAGAAAAATCTTTCATTAAGTAATAGTTTTACTTCAGCATCAACCACAACTAGAGATACTGCAACAATCAAATAGCAGAAGATGACATGTAAAACCTGGTGTGTGGTAAGCACTCTATAACAAAGGTAATTGCAGCATTGACAAGTTACTAGTCAGTTACAAGCAAGAAAAAGACAGAGAGATGTAGCTGAAGAGTAAAATTTTCTTATTAGGTTTCAAATAACTTTGCATAAAGCACCTCACAATTTTAGGATATTGAACCCAACCCATAGATTAAACATTTTTTCAAGCCCTGAGGTATGTACCATCTAAAAACCCACACTAAGGAGGTCACTGTTTTTGTTGCCAGAATTAACCATTTTTTTTAATTGTAAAGCAACTTACAGGGTACTCTAAATACGAAACTACTTCAGAAGTATCAAGTACCACAGTTTTAAATGAATTAGAGTAGAAATCAATTTAGGGCTTAAATTCTCTATTTTGCTTTGATGCTTAAAATTTACTTACCGTATTCCAGGTGACTGTGTGCATGCCATTTTATTTCATATTTTTGAGATAGAAATGATGCACACATAGTAGTTTCTGAGAATTAATTTCTTAAGCCATAGCAAGATAGCTGTCTGCCTAAAATCTAATTGCAGTAACTAAATTTGAGATATATTGGTAATTGAACTGAACAGTACGCATACAGCCAAGCACACGTGCCTAACTAAATAGCACTGTGCACACTCTCCTGAACTTTAGTCTTATTTTCCTTGAACAATTTTTTTCTGCATTTAGCTTTAGAATATTAAGCAAACATTATATTAATGAGTAACAATGTCTGTGATATAAACAAGTAGTATACTCTGAAACAGAAAAACGTGTAAAGAAAACAATTCATGCCACTCCCTTAATGAAATATAATCAAAATGAACACTTGAAACAGACTAATGATGATCAAAAAAAGAGTATTGACAATGTTAACAGATGATCACACTAGTGATAAACTCCTCCTTTTTTGCTATGGCACACAGCAATTCTGTTACATGGATAGGTGTTCCATGCAAAAAGGAAGAGATCACACATACTTTTACAATTTGAGGTGATTTGAAGCCTCATTTCTTACATATAAATACATGAATAAAACAAGTTTTTCTTATGTACATAGTAAAATCATAACCTCAATATACATTTAAACTGACTGTATTTAATCTGTACCTTCCCTTTTTACATTGGTGTCTAATGGAGCCTAAAGTATCATCTGATAGCTAATTTTATTCCAAGAAAAAAGTGCATCATTTTAACATACTTAAAAGAAATACAGATGTGCAGGAAGAAATAGTTACCAATTCCAGTTCATTAAAAAAAAAAAAGTGGAAATTGTATTTAGTGAAGCAATATCCCACTGCAGCAATGTTTTATACTAGAGAAATGTAATCATACAACAAGAAGTCCCCAGAAATTCATAATTATGTATATGGTAACAGACACAGTGTACCATTACTGCAACCCAGGCATGCCCCTTTGTCTTAATCATCAAAGAAAGTGAGAAGTCTTACGAACCTTGGCTACTTGTTAAAATTAACTACAAACTATTTAAAATGGGCTGTCTACCACAGGAAACAGAAGTGTCAGTATACTCTTATTGTGCTAGTAATCAATTTGTGTGATAACTGTTCTATATCCCTTAAACAATTTCATAAATCAATTCAAACTTCATTTCTGCTAAAACCTAGTCTTTTCCTCTGAACAAAAAGAGTATAACTGAGCTATATTTCTACTCCTTGGACAAGCTCACTTATAGACAACTCTTCTCAGCATCTCTCTAATCACTCCACAAGACTAATACGACATTTAGGAAGCATTAAAATCATGAAGCAAACTTACTTTACCAAGCAGAGCAAAAACATCATTGCCTTCCTGCAGTGCTTCATCAAAGTATTTCACAGCTTTTTTAATGTGAGTTTCTTTCCCACAGGTGAGATCAAGCCATGCTTTCAAAATCAACCCCTGTAAACAAAATATAAATTGGAGTTCATCACTAACTAGGTAGTAAAAGAAGTATACTAGATACAGTAATAAGTAGAAATAACCAAAAAATAAAATAGGACTTAAAATGAAAGTAACTATTTAAAATATATATTTTAAATTATAACCAGTTTACAGCATAACCTAAAACATCAGTAATTCATTCCAGCATTAATCAAATAGTATATTTACTTACAGGATTAAAAAAAAAGAACAACCAAACAAACAAAAAATAACAATGGCACTGAACTAGTCTAACATGCTAAGCAGGCAGAACAAAACCTCCCAGAAGTAATCGCATAAGACTGTAAGAATATTTTCTGCAAACACTTCTGCAGAATACTTTCTCAAAATTTTGTTTATATCAGACACTGTGAAACTTACGGGGTGCCAAAAAAGGAGAGAAACTTGTTTTTTTCCCCTCTACTATTTGATTAAAAAGAAAAAACTGCGTGTGAAGGGCAGAGATCTGACATTTCCCAAATCCCCAACAGTATTATAAAAAAAAAAAGTACTTAAAATTTATTAATTACAAATAATAATTCCTTCAATGAAAAGCCACATTTCACCTTTTAAAATTCTATTTCTCTTATCTGTGCCAGACATTTATAGCTTAAGTAAATCAAATCTATCTTGAAGTGCTGGATTATTTAACCAAATTATAATTGCCATCAAAACAAAAATTTAAACTATAAAATATCACTAGCTCTTTTGTAACATAAAATTAAAGTGAGTCATTTATTTAAAACTCAATGGTTAGTACAAGAGCGATATTTTGTAATTGCTAACAATCAGGGTCATGATTTTGTTATGCAACAGAAACTGGCTGAAATCCATATACTCAAGCATTTTAAAAAAATGGGAGGTATTTTACTTCTATATAAGGAGTACATAAAGTATCTTATCAAAAGGAACTGTATATACCAAGCAAATCATATTTCACTAAGTTCAAGCACCCCTAACAACCTCCCAATAAATCTGAAGTACACATAACTTTGTATTGTCAAACTAGGAAAAGGTATAAGCATAAGTGAACTTACAAAAAAGGAAAGCTATTTGTTTTCTATATATTTAAATGCTAACGTACGTTTCTATGTACATGTCATCTAAAAAAAAAATTATTTCAAATCCATTAAATACTTCAGCTGGAAATATTTCCTACTAAGAAATATTCCCAAATAGTATCTCTTAAAAACAAAAATAAGCAAACAAAAAACAACTACTATGGTTTCAATAAGCAGAGTCATAAATACTGCTATTTCACCAAAATGGTATATCCTTAGTCTTTTTAGAAATTAACATGTTAATGCTTTTGGGATGTCCTTAATTATTTCTTCATTAGTAAAAATTAGCCAGTAATTAAAAATAACTACCAATTTTAATTAATAATCAGTGATAGTTCAAAAAGCTAAGCCATTACTTAAATTTATAATGTAATTTCAGAAATTAATGTTTAGAATAGTTGCAGATTTCTAACTCACGTAATATGTAAACCATAAAACTGTAGATTACAAATTGAGCAACGTACTGAACCACACAGAGGAACAATTCAGACACAACATTTGTATTCAGTACTAGTGTCATAAGAGAACAATTATGCATTCAATTTTAACACCTCTGCCTTGAAGACGTCTGACTAAAAAAAAAAAAATTTTTCATTTTTTCTCTCCTTGAATTCAAGCTGATACCTCCTTTAAAAAAAAAACAACACAGTAAGTTTTCACAAACCTCTTTAAAGACTAATGATTCTAGTGAATTTTGATATCTGTATATAAATGCAGAAGACATTGCTACATACAACACTTTACATAGATTTTAAAATAAATTACATTCAACAAAACCCTAGGCAAATTTTGCCTTTAACAACTGCTGAAAATTTAAATCCCCAACCCTCGGATTCAAAACAGATGTCTCCCTCTAGTGAGACTATCACACTTAGTTTTTTGCTAGGAATTATGATGCTCAGTATCAAGTAGCAAAACTGGCATAACTACATATTATTTCCATTGGTCAATGCAGACCTCTCATTTATTAAGTGAAAATGAATACTTAGCAGACAAAAAAATCATTATGGGAATTCTACTCAGCCCTGTCAATTTTATGACATTAAGAAAGTATTAGAACACAAAACAGTTAATTAAAGGAAACCTCCAAGTAGCATTGGTGTAATAAGTCTAACTTCACAGTACACATGGACCTATTACTATTTTACATAGGGGAAAAAAAAAGTTACCTCTTTACCACCACCAGAAACTTTGATCATTCTATCAACATATTCACGGGCTTTGTCCTCACGACCAAGATGCCACAAAAATAACCCAGCGAAGTACAGAGCCTGGTGTCCTGCTGTTTTACGTTGCTCCTTCATTTTTGCATCCAACTCTAGAATAGCATCTCGATCTGAAAAGATTTTGTTCAGAGATTTTGTTGATAGCATCTCAAAATATTACAAGAGAGCAGCACATAAGCCAAGGGCTTCCAAAGCAAACATTGTTTTCTGTATTATGTATTGATAAACACACAGGCAATCCCTCCCAATTAAAAATATTAATCAGGCACAGATGTAAAAGACAGAAGAGGGTTCCCATCAACATAGCCATTTGTGCAAGAACACCGCTATTCGTTAAATCTTAGATTTGTAGCTGAGACTCCTGCCAGATAAATGGAAACTTGACAATAAGGTTCACGTTTATACCAGTGCCTGCCAAATAAGTAAACAGTTAACTGTAGAGCAGTCCTAAAATGCTGAACACAAGATGATTTAGCTCCAGAATCCCTGGAAAATATGTGATGTATTTCTTAAAGCTCACTTTCTTACATCCTCATTGTTATTGTCAGTTGCTCTCATCAGGTTAATCCCACACAGAAATTTCATTCGGTGTGTGGGACTTACTGTCAAATGTTTTCTTTTACCCACGTTCATTTCCGGTCCTTTTTTAGAAGCTATTAAAATCAAATGTCTGAGTCTTACTGCCATGACTTTCTCAGAGAGTCTTGAAATGCATGATAGTTTTGCTGCCCTACAGTATTAGTCCTCAGGGACTCAAATAAGAGTGATGTCATTAGTCAGAGCTGTTTCACATCATACTGCTTAACAAAGTTGTCAGTAACAGTAATAAATCTGCACAGTCAGGAATATACCAGGGCAATAGTTTAATGACAACTCAGTTTACCTGATAAACCAACTGTGGTTTTGAGAATATAATTCTTAGCAAAATAACCCCAGTTTTTAGATTGGAGAAAGGAATACCAACATTCACAAAATTCTTTTCTCCACTTGTAAGGTCAGAGTAACTTGAAAGATAAAAATGGCGTGGCTTTAATGACTTCTTAAATTACAGTTCAGCTCAAAAGAACCGGTATCGGGCAAGAGTGAACAACAATCACAAGAAGCTTGATTCAAATCTTTTTTTTCAACAAAAGATTCTTCATCATGCCAGATACGTCAGATTTTATTCTTTTTAGTTTTACTTCAATATTCAGTCTTACTCTTCACAGTTTTGTGTTTTGGTATTTTGTTGACAATTTTGACAACTGTCATTCAATTCAGTACTAGATACTGTGTCAAATGCAAAGCTGGAGTATACCTTTTTAAATTAGGCAGAATTAGTCTACAACTCTCAGATCTTAACACACAGCTGTTTAAAACACTAAGCAGTATTGTCTTAATGAGCATACCTGGATTAGGGCTCTTCTTATGGGCATAAATCAGAGCCATCATTGTACAAAGTGACACCTCCTGTTTGTTTTTAATAGACTCCAACTGTCGAATACTCTCTTGGACATCACCTAGTAAAAACAAGTGCAGAATAGGCTATAACACTTTTCAAGACAGAGAATATCAGCATCAAAACCTCAATCTGACTTAAATTTTTCTCTCAATTCTTTCTTCTGTGTTTTTGGTAACACTTTCTTCATAACTTCCTTCATTACTCGCATATTGTCCTGGTTTTGGCAGGAACAGAGTTAATTTCCTTCCATTTTCACTTGTTTGTGCAAGCCTTTCAAACAGACACAAGAAAGAAAAAAGCATCTCAATGCAGAGAACTTGAAAGGAGTTATGTACTAGTTCTGCCAACTGCCATAAAGATGAAAATAATCTTTATTATTTGTTTTATACAGGGCATTGAGCAGCTCTTTTTGCTCCTGTTTCTTTATATAGATTTTTGCCTTGTTTGTATGAATCTTTTGAACATCAATAGAAGAGACAGCATCTTGAAAAACAGAAATGTATAACTGTAAACCAAAGGAAAAAAGTCAGGGAGTTACACAACCTCAGAATCTTTTGAATCCTTCCTATCCCCCTGCCACAGCCCTCCCCCACTTCGGGTTACTTGTTAGTATTCTGTGACATCCTTGATTTAGCTAAACAAACTTCTCAAAACAGTTTAATGTACACAAAGATCCTCCCAATATATATTAGCTGTCAGCTCCTCTGAGGCAGATAGATACAACAATGTCAGATACAGCTGCATTGAAAGGAAGAGGTATTAGCTGGAACGAGCAAATTTGTCTTTGTGATACAATGCAATGGGCATTTGGGCAGGGCTCAAATTCCCTCCAAGGAACCTGTTTACCTGGCCTATGTTCATGTAAAGATTTTAAAAAAAAAAAAACAAACCACAAAACACAGGGATACTCATTATTTCTCACTTCAGCACTATGCGGTCTAGATCAGTTTCATTCAAACTGGGGGTGGGGCCAGTGATAGATCATGAAACACTGGTAATCTCAGCATGGAAAACATTCAGACTTCATAACATTCCTTTCTTTCCATGTAGTAGACTAAAGACTGAATTTTGTGACGCAAGGAAGACCAGCGTTTTGGGAGGGCGGGGAAGGGACAGGACATACCAACCGGCTCCCCAGCCCCGCATTACCTGCCCTCAGGGCGCCGTAGGCCCGGTAGAAAAGGAACACCGGATCGCTGCCCAGCCGCCCCAGCGCCGCATCCGCCGCAGCCCGGACGTGGTGGAAGTAGCCTTCTTGGCAGTAATAATTGAGCAGGGCCTGCGGGAGAGGCGGCCTCTATTCACTCGTGCAAACGCTTCACCCCGGGACGGCAGGAGACCGCGCCGA